AAATTTAAATTAAAAAATTGATAATTATTTTGAAATATAGGAAGTATTTTTAAAAAATGAAAAAAAAATTGCCTGTGCCGAAGAGAAAAATGAAATAAAAAACACCAACGATTTTGTTGCATATAATATTGCATTGTGTTCAAAACCTAGAATAAAAAAAAAAATCCTTCTTAAAATCTCATATGATACCTGTGGTTTAAATATTTTGTTGTACACAGTAATCATTTTCGCTAGGGTTTACCCCTACTGAAATGCTTCCCCTTCAGCTTCACATTTCTATTGACCAAGAAATGATGCTAGAAATCTAGAATTATTGCAATACATACACCTACAACATTTGACTGCAGCTAAGCTATTAACACATTTGACAGAAGGAAAGGAAACAACTAAGGGATGCAAAACAAGGAGTATGGAACTTTTTTTTTAATTTTTTTGACAAGCGAAAATGGTTAGATTAAGTGTTAGTATTTGTTGCTATTAGGGAGGGTCGAACCTTGAAGTTGGGTGCATTCCACCTATTGCTCAATGGGCAACATGGCCACCACTGAGTCACATAAGGGATTGCATATGAGGGATTGCAGGAGGAGTATGGAACTTTGAATGATCAATGATATTGAATGAAAAAAGTTAAATGCTAATTTTAGTCCCTCAACTTTATAGAGTTGCACCTTTTTGGTCCCTTAATTATTTTTTACACTTTTTTGATCCCCTAACTCTAAGAACTACACAATTTTGGTTCTTCCGTCAGTTAAGTCACACCTGTCAATTAAATATTCTAGAATGACACTTTTCTAATGACATGTCAATGACAACTCATACAATTAGTTTAGGTGGATTATGCCAAGTCAGACTTAATCATTCTTCTTAATTTTTTTTCAATTCTTTAATTATAAAATAACTAAAATGCCCTTAATTTATTCTTCTTGCCATGGTCCTCCCCTGTCCTCTCTCTGTTCTCTTTGCCACCGCCATTGTTTCCAACCATTTTTTCCTCTTTTTGTCATTGTTTCCTTTCTCCCTTCCCCCCCCACCCCCTCCTTGGCCATGACTAGGTTCGTGCGGAACCCAAAGACGATATGGGTTCATCGCGAACTGAGATCTGCATGGGTTCGTCACGAACCCAAATCTACTCTGGGTTCGTTGCGAATCCAGTTCTGTTTTGGGTTCATTGCAAACCTGGTTTGAAATGCCTTCTTGTTCTAGTTACCTTTTATGAAATGAAAAAAGAAATTTACTTTTTTGAATGGGGGAAACCTTTCTATCTAGAAATTTTTGAGAGAATGTTTTTAGCCTGTCAACTAGGTTCATAGTTCTTTCATGTTAGATATTCATTTCTTTATTGCCATAGATTATGTAAAAAATTTTGAATATATTTATGTTAGAGTCCAGTTTGAAGCAAGACATTATCTCAGGTAAACATGATTTGTCATCTTGATGTTTGGAACTTCATATTTTCTTCATAAACCTCTAAACTGTGTCATGTGATTGGTCAAATTTTATTGTTCTCTAGGTTGTCTTCATCTACATTAGCTAAAGGAGTACAACAATATTTAGCTTGAGAATTTTAGAGCTATGTTGCCCCTAGCACATCCCCTTTTACTAGCAAATTCATTTAGGTTTGTTTTCTTACCACTTTTCAAACCTTCAAATTCACCACAATGTTCATTATTAATTCCTTGTTTCTGCAAGAAGATGTATGCTAACTCTCTCATTCATGGTGATTCACACATGCTTTTCACAAAAGATAGAAATAAGGTAAAGTAGATTTATGGAGGAAATAGTGGCATTTCTTCTGAAATTTTATGTTGCTTTTAATTGTGGAGTACTGAACGAAAGAGGATGAAGAAGGCGAACCCAAATCATTTGGGTTCACGACGAACCTAGAATTGGGTTTGTGACGAACCTAGATCATCTTTGGGTTCCTCATGAACCCAGATCGTCTCTGGGTTCCTCACAGACCCAAATCCTCTCTAAGTTCCTCACAAACCTAGTCACAGCCAAGAAGAGGGATAAAGGGAGGGGAAAAAAGAAACAATGACAAAGAGAGGAAAAATGGCTGAAAACGGTGGTGGTGGCAAGGGGAACAGAGAAAGCATAGAGGAGAACGATAGCAAGAAGAATAAATTAAGGGTATTTTAGTAATTTTATATTTAAAGAATTGAAAAGAATAAAAAAAAAAACAATTAAGTTTGACTTGGCATAGTCCACCTAAGTTAATTGTATGAGTTGCCATTGACATGTCATTAAAAAAGTGCCATTCTGAAATATTTAACTGTCAGGTGTGACTTACTTGATGGAAAAACTAAAATTGTGCAGTTCTTAAAGCTAGGGGATCAAAAAAGTGCAAAAAAATAATTGAGGGACCAAAAAAGTGTAACTTTATAAAGTTGAGGGACCAAAATTAGCATTTAACCAATGAAAAATTCATTTTAGGTAGGAAAAACTTAGCAAGGCAACCCATGTCGATGATTTTTGTTT